CAGAGTTAAGTGTTCTATGTATGTAATAGGTGCAGTAATAAGTATGAATGTTTTGTATGGTGAATAGGTTTAGTGTATTGAATATTGGTGGAGTGTGCTGCCTATAGTGAGAATTTGTTATCATTCTAACTGCAGCTTTTTGTTGGGTAATTAGTGGTCTGAGATGGTTACTTGTTGTTGAGCCCCATGCACAAATTCCATAGGTGAGATAGGGGTAAATAAGAGAGTGATATAGGGCCAGGAGGGCTGACTGTGGAGCATAGTACCGTATCTTCGATAGTATGCCTACAGTCTTGGAAATTTTCTTAGAAATTTGTTGTATATGTGTATGAAATTTGAGTCTATTATCAAGGTGGATTCCTAAGAATTTTCCCTCTGTTAGCTTTGTGATAGGATGATCCGTTTATCATTATGTTAAGAGGACATCTGTAGCTCTGTTACCAAACTGAATGAAGTAGGTTTTGTCAATGTTTAGTGTAAGTTTGTTAGTCCTCATCCAGGTAGATATTTTCTGTAATTCTGTATTTACAGTATTGGCTAGCGTGACTGGGCTCGGGTGGGAGAAGACGTATGTAGTGTCATCTGCAAATAGTGTGGGTTTGAGTAATTGCGAAGCATTTGGTAGGTCATTTATGTATAGGAGAAAGAGAAGAGGGCCAAGGACACTTCCCTGTGGGACACCAACTGTAATTGGTTGTGCAGAAGAGTTTGTCCCATTTGCATACACATATTGGCTTCTGTTGCTGAGGTATGACTTGAGGTAGTTGAGGGAGTGCCCTCTTATACCATAGTGTGACAATTTTACGTGGAGCAAGTCATGGTTAACTGTATCAAAAGCTTTACGTTAAGTCAATGAAGATCCCCAGTGGGACTTCTTTTTTCTCTATTGCAGTGTATATATGTTCTAGCATGTGTATAATAGCATCATTAGTATTTTTATTTGGCCTGAATCCAAATTGGCAGGGTTGAGTATGTTTTGGGAGATAAGGTAGGAGTAGATTCGTTTATGAATTAATTTTTCGAAGATTTTTGAGGAGGGTGTAAGTGGATATTGGCCTATAGTTTATTCAACTCTGTTTGGTCTCCTCCTTTGTGGATCGGGGTGACCCTTGCTATTTTGAGTACTGTGGGGAAGGTGGAGGATTCAATGGATTTGTTAAAGAGTGTGCAATGATTGGTGATAGCACTTGTGACACTTTTTTGTATATAAAGGGTGGTAAGGTATTTAAATCTCCTGCCTTGTTTTTTAGCGTGTTGATTATAAGGGAGACTTCGTATGGGTTAGTCGGAGCTAGGAACAGTGTGTTCGGGTAGTTGCCAGTGAGGTAGTCATTGGTGGGGTATCTGAGCTTGGGATTTTATTGGCAAGGTTTTGTCCTATAGTGGAGAAGAAGTCATTGAGTCTGTTTGCTGTTTCTGTTGGTGGGAGTTGGGGTTCATCTGATTTTGCTAATTTTATTTCGCTATTTCGTGATATCTTTTTTGTTCCTAGAATTTCTGATAGGGTTTTCCAGGTCTTTTTTATATCACCTCGTAAGTTGGATAATCTGTTCTCATAATACAATTTTTTTGCCCTTCTTATCAGGCTGGTTAGGATTGACGAGTAACGTTTTGTTTGGTCTCTGGTTATATTATCTTCTTGTTCCTGATTCTGTGTCGCAGTTGCTTGTTATATTGCTATTGGGCTTAGCATTTTTTTTTTGTTGTTCAAGCAGACTGTTCTGATTGCCAGTTGGTCAAGAAGTTAGTTTATTTGAGGACTTTGTCAGTCACTTGTTTAAGTCTAGTCGAGTCGTGAGACATAGCGAACTACTTAGAGCACTTACACACATACACACACTTACTTGTATATTGTATTATAAAATGTTAATGTACCAGATGGTACTTAAGACTTATATATGTGATATGTGCTTTCAGCACAATAATATTGTACACGAGAGAAGTGATTATTATTAATTTGTTTGAATTGATTAATTTAATTTATTTTGATAATTACTCAGACTATACTTAATAAATTTATTAAATTTTAATTTCTCTAGTTAGTAGCCTACCATTTGTAATCCTGAAGCACTATTGAATCATACTGAATTCTAATGGATAATTGGACAAGGATACTGATAATTGTTACAAAAACCCAGTAATGGGCTGGATGCTAGAAGGGCAGTCCTTTCTAGTATTCACTGGAGATCTCTAAGTTTTTAGAATTGCATTTTTGTAACACCTAACAAAATTTTTCAAGACATTATTCACCAATAAACGTTTTTAAAAAGTAAATGCATACACATCAAGTAAAACACAAAGGCATAAAATGATAGATGAAGGCATGTAATAAAACACACTATTTTGTCAGGTGTGAGCTCAAAAAATTTTCCCACCCCTTAGCTTTATATCTTGACTTATAAAATCGTAATGACATGATTACAAACAAACCATACCACGGGTGGGGTTTGAACCAGCGATCAGAGCGTCTAAAAAACTCCAGACCATCACATTAACCACGGGGCCAGCTAGCTTCAAAAAGATTCATCCAACTAGGTACAGTGGTCCCTCGTTTTTCGTAATTAATCCGTTCCGGGAGCCATTACTATAAACAAAATTTTTACGATTTGCGAATCAAATTTTCCCGTAAGAAATAATGTAAAACAATTTAAATCCGTTCCTGACACCCAGAAGAAATTAAAACAAAAAAATTTTTTACATGAAATATACATATAGTACATAAACAATACAATGGGAAATGATGAATGAAACATTAACAGCATAACACTTACCTTTATTGGAGATTTCTTCTTAGTGTATGTGAGACTGGAGGAGGAGAGAGTTTGGGATTGTTTACAGTTTGGAAGGGGAATCCCCTTCCAGCAACACCTCAGGTACCAATTGGTTTCTCTGGGATTGCTTTTTCTTCTCTGTTCTTAATGCCACTAGGACCACCTTGAAAGTCACTTTAGTCCTGTCTCGCAAAGTAACTGGGGAGAGAGCTCTGGTTTCTGGCGTCTCTTTAAACTTCCCGAAAGGGCCCAAAAACATTTGTCACTGTACTATTTCTCACCTTCTTTACCACAGGCTTGGCACTAAAAGCTTTCTTTGGAGCCATGGTAGCTTATTTAGTAATTGCAAGCACTAAATGTGGGGAATTTTAAATGAAATATTTCGTAGGAGCACTTGAGGGGACCTTCACTCACGGGAAAAACAATGCCAGAACGGCGGGTAGGGACGCCGCCCCAGCCACACCGTGCGTATGCGCCCCAGACGAACTACTATTTGCACGTCAACCTATGAAAAGCAAGTCCCATGTTTATACGAAAATACCCCTATGATTGGCGAAATTTACGATTGCCGGGAGAACTATGAAAAGCGAGGGACCACTGTATATTTCTACACCATAGGAAGGTTAGCATAGGCACCACTGGTGACCACAAATGCAAGATTTTACAGATGATCACGGGTTCAAACCCACCGTGGTATGGTTTCCTTATATCTGCTTGTTGGGGTGTTGCCCAGTCATCAGGATAGTTAAAGTGATCACCTTGGCAGCCATACTGAGTGTAGTTCCAGAAGCCAGCATACACTGATCACAGCGTTGGCCGGTGACTCCGCTGCTACACTCACACTGTCCTGTACCTTCATCACACTGGCTTCTCATGATGCTATACCAGTAGCAAGGCTGACATCCTGAATACATGACCAAAACAAACATAATACAATTATAACCTACAGTAGTTTCCTGTCTAAACTTACTGTAAAAATAAACTACAGTATTTGCAGATACTAAAATAGTAATATTTACACACAACATACAAACAATAATTTTTATATAGAATTATAAGAATGTACAGATCTGCCATAAAGAATGATCACCCCAGTAAAGGACTATGTAACCAGTAGTACAGATATAATACAATTATTCATTATCAATTTCTCGAGCTATATTTTCTGTGATACCAAAATAAACTTGAGTCCCATTTTTTGAAATCTGACATCTATGAGAGCAGATCCACCAGTTGTAAAATGAACAGTTTTGCAAAGCTGCCTTTAACTAACAAAAACTGCCCCATGACCATTGTAATTCACAATATGACATGTGAAGCTTTACACTGCTGTGCAATTTAATATGGAGTGAAATGTTGTCTAAAATATCATCACAATTTGTGGGTTACTTGTGAATGTATTGCAATTCTTATTCTTCTTTTCCAAACATTTTCATAATCAAGTATAAGGTTCATACAAAGATGATACTGACAGCTATAGCCTTCAGTAGATTCTGAAAGCATTTCTTAAGAGATTCAGCATGAAAACACTGACAAACATTTATCAAAATAACTTGCATAACTCTTAGACTGATAGTTATTATTATTAAACTTACTCACCATACAATGAAGGTCAATGATTATTTTTTTTTTTATTATCACACCGGCCGATTCCCACCAAGGCAGGGTGGCCCGAAAAAGAAAAACTTTCACCATCATTCACTCCATCACTGTCTTGCCAGAAGAGTGCTTTACACTACAGTTTTTAAACTGCAACATTAACACCCGTCCTTCAGAGTGCAGGCACTGTACTTCCCATCTCCAGGACTCAAGTCCGGCCTGCCGGTTTCCCTGAATCCCTTCATAAATGTTACTTTGCTCAATGATATGCATTCAAAATGATGTGTCACACACAGACATCAACACATGTTTCAATCCTATAACAACAACCTTTACAATTTTCAAAACTACCACAATGGAAATATTAAGTCTTAGAACTTATGTTTTTTGTGTAATTAAAGATAACTAAGACCAAAAAATATTCTCCAATTTAAACAATTCATAAAAATGACTAAACTAATTTTTAATTCTGCAGATTTCTACAGATCCACTGTTGCTTGTTTTCTTTATTTCTTAGATAATATCAAACTGTAAAAATAAGTAAATGAAACAAACATAATGTGCCTGCAGACATCTCTAGTAGAATGTCATTTCATACCTGACAAGAAGCAAATCCCCAGTGGTCGGGTTGCACATCGCTCACAACTGGTCACCAATGACATTACCGTAACATTCACATACACCAGAGAAGTGCTGACAGTTGCGAGTGCCACACTCATCACAAGTACATCCTATGAGAAAGAATTAATGATTACCATCTCTTCTCGCTTATCTCCTTTCACTGTAATGGTAAAGCTTCTGGTGATAAAGTATATGAATAAAGGGTGTGTGAAGGTAGAAACTTGAAAGTGAATATAGATAAGAGTAAGGTGATGAGGGTATCAAACGATTTAGATAAAGAAAAATTAGATATCACATAGGAGGGAGGGAGTATGGAAGAAGTGAATGTTTTCAGACATTTGCAAGTTGACTTGTCAGAGGATGGGTTAATGAAGGATGAGGTAAACCATAGAACTGATGAAGGAAAAAAGGTGAGTAGAGCACTGAGGTATCTGTGGAAGCAAAGAACACTATCTATGGAGGCAAAGAAGGGAATGAAAGTATGGTACCAACACTCTTATATGGGTGTGAAGCATGGGTTGTAAATGCTGCAGCAAGGAGGTAGCTGGAGGCAATGGAGATGTCGTGTCTAAGGGAAAATGTGTGGTGTAAATATTATGCAGAGAATTTGTAGTATGGAAATTAGGAGGAGGTGTGGAGACGGCTCACATGTTAAAAAAAAAAAAAAGTTTCTAAAAGTTACATTTACCTAATTTATACATTTGTCAATATATACCTTAAGAAACACTGTGGCATGACTGGGATTCAAACCCAAGCCCTCTAGACAAAAGCAAGAAACAAGAGACCTAACATCTTTGTCCACTACCCCACCATGTTATGTGGCATGGTGGTGTAGCAGACAAAGATGCCCGGCCTCTAGTTCCCTGCTCCTGTGGAGAGCTGCAGTTAGTAAATAAATTTATCAAGACAGATACACATAAGTACAATTATCATACATAGTGTAAATTACCTAGGATAACCCCCCCCAAAAAAAAAAATCACAGAAAGTGACTTATTTCCAATGGTCTCCGAAGGCCTGGGATTGAATCCCAGACATATCACAGTATTTCTCTGCACATATTCATCTATTTGATATACTGTTATATCCAGTATCTTGACTTGAGTAATGTCACAGTTATAATGAGTAGTCAGTATTATTTTTCTGAAGAAAAATACTTCTATAGCTAATTACAAACATGTAAGAAAGAACCTACAACACAACTGTAAGGAACTCAGCTCTGGATCTTAGTTATTTATCATCCTTATTCAACATATGTTGTACTTTATCTACTGAATGTATTTTATACAACAGAAAAAATTATGCTTGAAAATGTGCACATGTGCCTCACTTACAGTAGGCTCACATTATTATATATACAAAAATATGCAACATATTTATGCAGAAAAAGATACACATATTTCTTACATACACTGATTGCAAAATAAGATATTTACACAAAACAGTATATGTATACATATCTCACCTACACCATACTCAGACCACTCTAGGTATGCCTCCCCATATCCTTCTCCAGCTATGCGCTGTCCCTTCTTTCCAAATCGTCTATACAGTGACCCCTGAGGAGGTGGGTATGTGATGGGGTGGGGACTCCTGCCTTGGCCATGTCTGTTCAGTGTTGTGTAGTGAGTGAGACCAATTGATGACTCAATCAGAGGGGGAACTGTTGATATTTGGGTAGCAACAGTTCTGCCATAGTTATGACTTGTCCCTTCCTGTCTTCTAATATGATCATCAGAACCAGAGTACGTATGTCTCCCTGAGCTTTCATACTGCCTAGTGTTATCTAATGTCCAACTGGTTGTTGAACTTTCGGGATGTTGTACAGATGAAGGAATCAGTGTGCTATGATTCCTCAAATGAACATAAGTTCCATACTGACTTCTGTATACATCTAAAGGTCTGTAGGAACCATATCGTGATGATGAGGACACAGACGTCCTGGAATGCGCATATCTTGTCGATCCAGACCAGGCATTGGAGCTTGGATGAGACTGATGCTTGGTCCTTGAAGTGCCATATGTTGTAGCCTGGCATTGACACTCAAAAATGCCCACTATGAGTAATATTACAGAGTGAAGCAACATGCTCAATGCTCATCTAGAGCAAGTAAGACACTGACCATGTACAGCCCTACACACCCATCCACTCACTCACTAGTCATAAGAGCAACACCACATTCTAAGTATTTTTTAAATATTGGTCTTATTATTAATACAGATTTATCTAATGCTAAACTTCACATTGATAATACTGTATTAATTTTCTATCTATGTAATCAGAAAATTATTTAATATGGATAAACTATACAATGCTACTTTTAAATATATTAATATGTGGCACTTTAAAAGAGGGTGCCAGTTGGCATCTCCCCAACTCTGCCCCTACCCTTGCTAAAAATAAATACCAAGTAAAAAAAAAATATTTGGGAAGGAACTTGTATATTCTTCAGAGTCAACCAATATAGTAATTGTTACTGTATGTACATTATACAGCGATGACTGTGAAACTAACTGGTATACAAAAAATCCTAGTCTATTACAGTATTATTATTATTATTATTATTATTAGTAGTAGTAGTAGTAGTAGTAGTAGTAGTAGTCTTATTATTTTTTAAACACATCAGCTGTCTCCCACAGAGGCAGGGTGACCCAAAAAAGAAACACTTTCACCATCATTCAACACTTTCACCATCACTCATACATAATCACTGTCTTTGCAGAGGTGCCCAGATATGACAGTTTAGATGTCACTCCAAACAGCCAATAGCCCAAAACCCTCCTTTAAAGTGCAGGCATTGTACTGCCCACCTCCAAGACTTAAGTCCAGCTAAATGGCTTCCCTGAATCCCTTCACAAAATATTACCCTGCTCACACTCCAACAGCTCGTCAGGTCCCAAAAACCATACGTTTCCATTCACTCCTATCTAACACGCTCACACGTCTGCTGTATGTCCATGCCCCATACACACAAAACCTCTTTCACACCCTCCCCCCATCCTTTTCTATCATTATTATTCATGAAAATCATAATATAAGTGTAAATGTGTTTTCTGCAAATTTACATAGTTACTTTGTTAAATATGAGGTAAGACAAACAAACTGTTCAGAAACACTGTGCATCATGCAACACAATAGTGAATCTATTCAGTACATTCAATCAAATTGAACAGTGGAGAAAACAGCAGGATTCAAACCCATAACAAGCATGTCTTAAAATGAGCAGACAAGTTATCTTACCACTGGTTCATGTTGGCTTAATAAGATTCATATTAATAAAAACATTGCTAATAACAACCTAAAACAGTGAGTGATAAAGTGACAAAATAACAAAGAATACTGAATAAAGCTTAAATAACAATAAAACAGTAAAGTGACAGAAACTTGAATCTGTTTAATTAGAGATGCAAGTGAAAATATCTTTGAATCTTTGAAAAGAAAGGTATTGCAATACTTAAAAAAATAAAAACATAATCAATGTAATTATAATATAACAAGAATTTCCTCATCATTGTCAGATACCAGGTGTTGGAGTGTAAGATCCACCATGACAGGAGTGTGGTCCAGAAGCAACACTGGCAAATAGCCAGGACTCACTCAACTATATTTAGACAATGCTACACTTGTATTGGATGGCAAGATTGCCCATAATACATGGAGGAAAAGATGCTATACATAGAGCAAACCTTTATTTACACACAATGTTCTCTTGTTGTGTGATCAGGTCATGGGGGTGGTGACCCCTGAAACCAATTACAGGTCCAGGTCAACAGCCTGCTTAACCAAGCAAGCACCAGATGAGTCTGGTCCAAGGCCAGGCTCTGGCAGTGGAAAAACTATCAAAACTCATTAAAGGTACCTGGAGTTTACCTGGAGAGAGTTTCGGGGGTCAACGCCCCCGCGGCCCGGTCTGTGACCAGGCCTCCTGGTGGATCAGCGCCTGATCAACCAGGCTGTTGCTGCTGGCTGCACGCAAACCAACGTACGAGCCACAGCCCGGCTGATCAGGAACTGACTTTAGGTGCTTGTCCAGTGCCAGCTTGAAGACTGCCAGGGGTCTGTTGGTAATCCCCCTTATGTGTGCTGGGAGGCAGTTGAACAGTCTCGGGCCCCTGACACTTATTGTATGGTCTCTTAACGTGCTAGTGACACCCCTGCTTTTCATTGGGGGGATGGTGCATCGTCTGCCAAGTCTTTTGCTTTCGTAGTGAGTGATTTTCGTGTGCAAGTTCGGTACTAGTCCCTCTAGGATTTTCCAGTGTATATAATCATGTATCTCTCCCTCCTGCGTTCCAGGGAATACAGGTTTAGAAACCTCAAGCGCTCCCCAGTAATTGAGGTGTTTTTATCTCCGTTATGCGCGCCGTGAAAGTTCTCTGTACATTTTCTAGGTCGGCAATTTCACCTGCCTTGAAGGTGCTGTTAGAGTGCAGCAATATTCCAGCCTAGATAGAACAAGTGACCTGAAGAGTGTCATCATGGGCTTGGCCTCCCTAGTTTTGAAGGTTCTCATTATCCATCCTGTCATTTTTCTAGCAGATGCGATTGATACAATGTTATGGTCCTTGAAGGTGAGATCCTCCGACATAATCACTCCCAGGTCTTTGACGTTGGTGTTTCGCTCTATTTTGTGGCCAGAATTTGTTTTGTACTCTGATGAAGATTTAATTTCCTCATGTTTACCATATCTGAGTAATTGAAATTTCTCATCGTTGAACTTCATATTGTTTTCTGCAGCCCACTGAAAGATTTGGTTGATGTCCGCCTGGAGCCTTGCAGTGTCTGCAATGGAAGACACTGTCATGCAGATTCGGGTGTCATCTGCAAAGGAAGACACGGTGCTGTGGCTGACATCCTTGTCTATGTCGGATATGAGGATGAGGAACAAGATGGAGCTAGTACTGTGCCTTGTGGAACAGAGCTTTTCACCGTAGCTGCCTCGGACTTTACTCTGTTGACGACTACTCTCTGTGTTCTGTTAGTGAGGAAATTATAGATCCATCGACCGACTTTTCCTGTTATTCCTTTAGCGCGCATTTTGTGCGCTATTACACCATGGTCACACTTGTCGAAGGCTTTTGCAAAGTCTGTATATATTACATCTGCATTCTTTTTGTCTTCTAGTGCATTTAGGACCTTGTCGTAGTGATCCAGTAGTTGAGACAGACAGGAGCGACCTGTTCTAAACCCATGTTGCCCTGGGTTGTGTAACTGATGGGTTTCTAGATGGTGGTGATCTTGCTTCTTAGGACCCTTTCAAAGATTTTTATGATATGGGATGTTAGTGCTATTGGTCTGTAGTTCTTTGCTGTTGCTTTACTGCCCCCTTTGTGGAGTGGGGCTATGTCTGTTGTTTTTAGTAACTGAGGGACGACCCCCGTGTCCATGCTCCCTCTCCATAGGATGGAAAAGGCTCGTGATAGGGCTTCTTGCAGTTCTTGATGAACACAGAGTTCCATGAGTCTGGCCCTGGGGCAGAGTGCATGGGCATGTCATTTATCGCCTGTTCGAAGTCATTTGGCGTCAGGATAACATCGGATAGGCTTGTGTTAATCAAATTTTGTGGCTCTCTCATAAAAAATTCATTTTGATCTTCGACTCTCAGTCTGGTTAGCGGCTTGCTAAAAACTGAGTCATATTGGGACTTGAGTAGCTCACTCATTTCCTTGCTGTCATCTGTGTAGGACCCATCTTGTTTAAGTAGGGGCCCAATACTGGACGTTGTTCTCGATTTTGATTTGGCATAGGAGAAGAAATACTTTGGGTTTCTTTCGATTTCATTATGGCTTTTAGTTCTTCCCGCGATTCCTGACTCCTAAAGGATTCTTTTAGCTTAAGTTCGATGCTTGCTATTTCTCTGACCAGTGTCTCCCTGCGCATTTCAGATATATTGACCTCTTTTAGCCGCTCTGTTATTCTTTTCCGTCGCCTGTAAAGGGAGCGCCTGTCTCTTTCTATTTTACATCTACTCCTCCTTTTTCTTAGAGGAATAAGCCTTGTGCATACATCGAGTGCCACCGAGTTAATCTGTTCTAGGCATAAGTTTGGGTCTGTGTTGCTTAGTATATCTTCCCAGCTTATATCGGTTAGGACTTGGTTTACTTGGTCCCACTTTATGTTTTTGTTATTGAAGTTGAATTTGGTGAATGCTCCCTCGTGACTAGTCTCATTTTGTCGGTCTGGGGCTCCACGCATACATGTCTGAACCTCAATTATGTTGTGATCTGAGTATATTGTTTTTGATATGGTGACATTTCTTATCAGATCATCATTGTTAGTGAAGATGAGGTCTAGTGTATTCTCCAGTCTAGTAGGCTCTATTATTTGCTGGTTTAAATTGAATTTTGTGCAGAGATTTAAAAGCTCGTGTGAGTGTGAGTTTTCATCAGAGCTGCCTCCTGGTGTTATTATTTTTTTATTTTATTATCACACTGGCCGATTCCCACCAAGGCAGGGTGGCCCGAAAAAGAAAAACTTTCACCATCATTCACTCCATCACTGTCTTGCCAGAAGGGTGCTTTACACTACAGTTTTTAAACTGCAACATTAACACCCCTCCTTCAGAGTGCAGGCACTGTACTTCCCACTGCAACAATATTATTTGCTATATTCCTCCATTTTAGGTGCCTTAAGTTGAAATCCCCCAGGAGCAAGATGTTGGGTGCAGGAGCTGGAAGATTTTCCAGACAGTGGTCAATTTTTAACAGCTGTTCCTGGAATTGCTGGGATGTTGCATCCAGAGGCTTGTAGACTACCACAATGACTAGGTTTTGGTTCTCGACCTTTACTGCTAAAACTTCCACTACGTCATTTGAGGCATTAAGCAGTTCTGTGCAAACAAGTGATTCTGCAATGTACAGGCCAACCCCCCCCCCTTTTGCCTGTTCACTCTGTCACATCTGTATAGGTTGTAACCTGGGATCCATATTTCGTTGTCCAAGGTAAGAGTTGATAAAACTCTACTCAGAGTGAATATCTTTTCAAAATGAAGATTTACTCTATACAGTTTCTTTTGTCACAACTACACATTTCCTGTTTCCTTTATAAATACCTGAGAGAAGAAAAAATAAAGATAAAAGACTATATTAACCTTTTAGGGTACAGAGGCCAAATTTCGAAGTGTGCACCAGGGTCCAAGAATTTTCATAAAATAATTTCGTTATTTTTTCTCATG